CCAGTACTACTTTGTACTACGAAGCTTGCACAAAGTCGTTCCAGTACTACTGTGTACTACAAAGCTCGCACAAACTACTTCCCAGTATTACTTTGTACTACAAAACTTGCACAAAGCACTTCCCAGTACTACTGTGTACTACAAAGCTCGCACAAACACGTTCCAGTACTAATGTGTACTGCAAAGCTCGCACAAACTACTTCCCAGTACTACTGTGTACTACAAAACTTTCACAAACACGTTCCAGTACTACTGTGTACTACGAAGCTTGCACAAACTACTTCCCAGTACTACTGTGTACAACAAAGCTCGCACAAACACGTTCCCAGTACTACTCACTGTGTACCTAAAAAGCTGCAAGAAAGCACTCCCAGTACTAACTGCTTTGTTTACTTACAAGTGCACAAACTACTTCCCAGTACTACTGTGTACTACAAAGCTTGCAGTAGCACGTTCCCAGTACTACTGTGTACTACAAAGCTGGCACAAACTACTTCCAAGTACTACTGTGTACTACAAAGCTCGCACAAACACGTTCCCAGTACTACTGTGTACTACAAAGCTTGCACAAAGTACTTCCCAGTGTACTACAAAGCTTGCAGAAGCACGTTCCCAGTACTACTGTGTACTACAAAGCTCGCACAAACTACTTCCCAGTACTATTGTGTACTACTTACTACAAAGCTTGCAAAAAGCCGTTCCCAGTACTACTGTGTACTACAAAGCTTGCACAAAGCACTTCCCAGTACTACTGTGTACTACAAAGCTCGCACAAACACGTTCCCAGTACTACTGTGTACTACAAAGCTTGCACGAAGCACTTCCCAGTACTACTGTGCACTACAAAGCTTGCACAAAGCACTTCCCAGTACCACTTTTTACTACAAAGCTTGCACAAAGTCGTTCCCAGTACTACTGTGTACTACAAAGCTTGCACAAAGCACTTCCCAGTACTATTTTGTACTACAAGGCTTGCAAAGTCGTTCCCAGTCCTACTGTGCACTACAAAGCTTGCAACAACTACTTCCCAGTACTACTTTGTACTACAAAGCTTGCACAAAGTCGTGCGCAGTACTACTTTGTACTACAAAGCTTGCAGAAGCACGTTCCCAGCACTACTGTGTATTACAAAGCTTGCACAAAGCACTTCCCAGTACTACTGTGTACTACAAAGCTTGCACAAAGCACTTCCCAGTACTACTTTGTACTACAAAGCTTGCGCAAAGTCGTTCCAGTACTACTGTGTACTACAAAGCTCGCACAAACCACTTCCCAGTACTACTGTGTACTACAAAGCTCGCACAAAGCACTTCCCAGTACTACTGTGTACTACAAAGCTCGCACAAAGCACTTCCCAGTACTACTGTGTACTACAAAGCTTGCACAAAGCACTTCCCAGTACTACTGTGTACTACAAAGCTTGCACAAACACGTTCCAGCCAGTACTACTGTGTACTACAAAGCTTGCACGAAGCACTTCCCAGTACTACTGTGTACTACAAAGCTTGCACAAAGCACGTTCCAGTACTACTGTGTACTACAAAGCTTGCACAAAGTCGTTCCCAGTACTACTTTGTACCACAAAACTGGCACAAACACGTTCCCAGTACTACTTTGTACTACAAAGCTTGCACAAAGTCGTTCCCAGTACTACTGTGTACTACAAAGCTCGCACAAACTACTTCCAAGTACTACTGTGCATAGCAAAAAACACGAGATGTTGCAGCTTCCCCTATAGACACGGCGACATCCACGCAGCAAAAAACACGAGGTTTTGCAGCTTCCCGTATAGACACTGCGACATCTACGTAGCAAAACACACGAGGTTTTGTAGCTTCCCCTATAGACACGGCGACATCCACGTAGCAAAAGACACGAGGTTTTGCAGCTTCCCCTATAGACACGGCGACATCCACGTAGCAAAAGACACGAAGTTTTGCAGCTTCCCCTGTAGACACCGCGACATCCACGCAGCAAAAGACACGAGGTTTTGCAGCTTCTCCTATAGACACGGCAACATCCACGCAACAAAAGACACGAGGTTTTGCAGCTTCCCCTATAGACACCGCGACATCCACGCAGCAAAAGTCACGAGGTTTTGCAGCTTCCCCTATAGACACGGCGACATCCACGCAGCAAAAGACACGAGGTTTTGCAGCTTCCCCTATAGACACGGCAACATCCACGTAGCAAAAGACACGAGGTTTTGCAGCTTCCCCTATAGAAACCGCAACATCCACGTAGCAAAAGACACGAGGTTTTGCAGCTTCCCCTATGGACACGGCAACATCCACGCAGCAAAAGACACGAGGTTTTGCAGCTTCCCCTATAGACACCGCGACATCCACGTAGCAAAAGACACGAGGTTTTGCAGCTTCCCCTATAGACACGGCAACATCCACGCAGCAAAAGACACGAGGTTTTGCAGCTTCCCCTAGAGACACGGCGACATCCACGCAGCAAAAGACACGAGGTTTTGCAGCTTCCCCTAAAGACACCGCAACATCCACGTAGCAAAAGACACGAGGTTTTGCAGCTTCCCCTATAGACACGGCAACATCCACCCAGCAAAAGTCACGAGGTTTTGCAGCTTCCCCTATAGACACGGCAACATCCACGCAGCAAAAGTCACGAGGTTTTGCAGCTTCCCCTATAGACACCGCGACATCCACGCAGCAAAAGTCACGATGTTTTGCAGCTTCCCCTATAGACACGGCGACATCCACGCAGCAAAAGACACGAGGTTTTGCAGCTTCCCCTATAGACACGGCAACATCCACCCAGCAAAAGTCACGAGGTTTTGCAGCTTCCCCTATAGACACGGCGACATCTACGTAGCAAAAAACACGAGGTTTTGCAGCTTCCCCTATAGAGACTGCGACATCTACGTCGCAAAAGACACGAGGTTTTGCAGCTTCCCCTATAGACACCGAATTAACGACGCGAAAAACGACGCGAAAAACGTCGCGAAAAACGTCGCGAAAACGACTCGCCGACCAACTGGCGGCGAACACGGGTCCAACCCCCAGACCCCCAACTATAAACGGGAACCCTTCGCTACGCATTCGGGAAAAATGGATGAACCCCCGACATTAAAACACGCCACAGCTACATGAGGGGCAGTCACAGTTGTTGTCATTCAGCGCCGTGTAGTTTATGGCACATCCGAGCTTCATGGCGGGTGAGCCGGGGTGTGCAGGATAGCCAGGGCATTGAACGGAAAAATTCAAGTTGAACTGCTGCCCAAAACAGTTGATTGCCTTCTGCTCACTGCGGCTTCTTTCCTTTTGTGTCGTTCTACCTACAGGTAGGGCTCCTCGGCATTCGCAGCCGGATGAGCAATTGTTGCAATCCCAGGCCTCTTCGTCTGAGCAGTCTGGACAATCACAGAAATTGTCGTTCAAGGCACTGGAGGCAATAAAGCAACTCGGTGCTTGGAAAGGGGGAGCCGGGCACGCAATGATCCGATACTCACATGGATAGGAGAAATCTTGGTGGCAGGTCTGGTTCATTGGGCACCCAGAAACACAAGTGTCACAGGTAAAATTGTTTTCATCTGCGCAGGTTGGACAATCACAGTTCCCATCGTTGAGACGGTAGATACTGATAGTGCAATTGCTGTGCGGGCAAGCAAAGTAGAGGTCAAAACCTGGCTGTTGACGCGCAACAGGCTAAACCAAATTTAAATTTGAGAAAGGGAACATGAAAGGTATAGCAGGCTATGGAAAGAGGAAGAGGTTGGTCATAACTTTGGTGATGTTCCGGATCATCATCCCATGTTTGATGATGGAACTATCTGAGCAAACAAAAGAGCATAAATGACACCACCAAACAAGTGTCGATCGTATCCCCGGTGTTTCCTGGCTATATTCCCAGCTGCAACTGCAGCAAACATGGCCAGCCTTGACAGTCTTGACGCCCTGCCCCTGGAAAAATGTTTGGTTAGCTGGTTGGCTAGTCTACATGTGCAAGTTATATCAAAATACATCAAAATTGACCCATTACCCATCAATCAAACGTTGACCTTTGGCAAAAAAAATGACTAAGAACACACGCAGAAACAATTGCGATTCCTGATGCCGCAAACATCTGGACACACGCACGTGTCACAGTCCCAATCTTCCTCATCAGCACATGTTCCTGGACAGTCGCAGACGTTGTCGTTCACAAATCCTCGGAGGTCACGTGGGACCATGCTGCAACTTTGTATGCCTGCCTGTCTGATCTTTTTTGCCCACGTTTTTGCCAAAAAAAAATGTTGCACCCTCTCTCTCTACCCAATCCAGGAACCGATTGGTAAGGAGCAATTGCCAGGAGGTGGACATTGGAAGCGAGGGAATTGCGCAATGACTTGCAGATCCGTACAGCGCGCGACTGCGTCTCCTTTCGCAATGGCTGGAATCATACCGAAGGACAAAAGATCAAAGGGTCCCCAAAAGCATTGGTTTGAGATTTCGAGGATGTATGTGTTCAATAATCTGGCCAGTCATGTTGTCTACCTCAAAAAAATCATTGGTTCCACATTTGCCAACGATAATTACGCCGAAAAGGGATGCCAGAAGAATCTTTCACGGTGAAATCGGCGAAATATGGTGAAATATTGTCAAATATTGTGAAGTGTAGAAACTTACAATACAACGTGATGTGTTTTTTGGATTTTTTTGGTGGTTCCTCTTCTTATCATCTTGTCTGGGAATCTCTGCCGTGAACTCGAGATCGATTCGCCCCCATTTTTGCGAAAGTGAGTGCGCTATTTGCTTCATGTGGTTCCAACCAAATGACATGTATTTCGACATGTTTCTGACATTCGATCTGGCATATTTTCTGACATACTACCTGGCACGTATAATATTCTTCCATTTCTGCATGGCATTCTAATTATCAGGAACCCTATTTGACACATGCTGCCTTTTTTGGTGGCATTCATAGAATGCCAGATAGAATGTCAGATAAAATGCCAGATAGAATGCCAAATGAAATGGCAAGTAGAATTTGATAGAATGTTAGATGAAATGCCAGATCAACTGTCACAAAGAATGTCATACCAATGTTTAGAAAGAATGGCGCAAAAAAATCAAGAAAACCAACCAGAATATGTGTCAGATAGAATGTCAAATAGACACCAGATAAAATGCGATGAAATGACAGAAAACTGGAAAATCGATTGTCAGACAAAATGTAGATCACATGTCAGAAAGAACATCAATTGCCAGATTAGAATGCCAAACAAAATGACAGATAACATGATATATAAATATATATGTATATATACATATATTCACATACATACACCAAATTGACTGCCACACAGAATGCCAGATCGAATGTCAGACAGAATGTCAGACAGAATGCCAAGTCAAACGCCAGACAGAATGCCATCAGATTATGTCAGATTTCAATGCCAGATAACATGTCAGGACATATATGACAGATAGAATGTCAGAATCCGCCGGCCTGCCGGCGTGTCTGATTGTGAGGTGTTGTTCTTGTGTCTGTTCTTGTTTTGTACTTGTTTCTGTTCTGTCTTGGCTTGTACTTGTTCCTTGCTTCTCTTCCCGCGATTTTTTGCTTCGTCTGAATCAAAGTCACCCCCCCTTGTTCTTGTTTCGACCTAATACCTATGCGGGTACATGCATGAGTATTGAGCACATTTATATGCGCCCCTCAAGGCTCAAGAGGTATATAGAGTAACCCTGTGGACACCACACGGACTGGCAATACGCCGAGAGTAAAAAGCGTGTGAGCTGTCTTGGGAAGACACCTTAGCTGATCTTGAATAGACGCTAGGGCCCCTCTTCAAGTGGTAGCGGGGCAGTGATCCTTCATTGAAGGTGAGCTCCAGGTAGAGCCCAGCAATGGCACGCCATGGCTATGATGATGATGACTTCGACATTGTCGATGCAGATGGATGGAACCAATATGACTCTTACGCAATGAGAAGAGCCCCCCAGCAGACACAGATTCACATGACGCAACAGATGACCACGAAGGTAGCTCCAGCATATGATGGGAGAACCAGCTTCTTCGCCTTTGAAGATGCAATCGATGACTGGTGTGACATCACGGAGTTAGAACCTGAGAAACGTGGACCAGCCTTGCGCAATCGACTGGAAGGAGAGGCTCAGCAATACAAGAGGTTATTGGACAGACAAAGACTTCGGGATCCCAATGACGGAGTGAGTTATTTCAAAAGGTTTCTACGACCCCCATGTCATCAAAGGTGTTCAGAATGTGTTCTTATACTGTTTCATGCAGTTCATGAAGTTCAACAGAAGAACTATGGATCTTCAGAAGTGGATGACTAGATTTCAACTGACTGGCAACAGACTTATTGAGTCTTGGATGGATTTACTACCAGAAGTGTTGATTACTAGCCCTGAAGCAATCCAGTTTGTTCAGCAACAACGACAAGATCATGAACGAGATCAAAATGAACGAGCACAAGTGGCAGCAGCAACACCCGGCGCAGATCCTCACGTGATCATTCCCTGGTCAGATGAACTGGCATTAGTGGCATTCGGACTATTGAATGAGAACAGAAGACAAATAATGTGGTATACAGATTAGTGTGGGGATACAGAATTGTGCCCACAGACTCCAAAATAATTGTGTATCTTTGGAAATGATCGAGGGTACAGTTTTGTGTCCACAGGATTTTGGTGTAAGTTTTTTTTCAGTTTTTTTGTTTTTTAAGTTTTAAATTTATTTTAAATCATTTTCTATTTTTTGTTTCATCGCTTTAAAATGAAAATTAATTATCATTAAAAAATATATAGTTAATTAACATTCAATTTTATTTTTAACAAATTTAAACATTACATTTATAAAAAATAAATAATAAATATGATCAATATATATATATATATAATCATTATCATTCAATTCTTTGACAAATTTGAACATTATATTTATTGATGTCAGGATACACTATTGTGTCTTGATCTTGTCTGGGGTACAATATTGTGTCTTGGTCTTGTTTCTGTTCAAACATTTTTCATTTTTTTCATTTGTTTAAAGCTTTTTTCTTTTGCTTTTTATTTTCCATCATTGAAATTTTCCAGATGCCTCCCACAGAAAATTACATCCAGGTACACAATAGTATGGTTTGTTTGGGGGGTACACTACTGTGTTCAGCTGCTTTCCTGAGGTCATGGTTTTTTGATTTTTTTCAATCATTTCCTTTACCTTTTCCTTTGTTGCCTTTGCTAAAGGTTTTTTCCTTTTAATTAATTCCTTTCTTAGTTTCTTTCATTTGAAATTCTCAGAAATGCACAATTTCCCAAAATATATGATGCCTTTTGGAAACCCAATTAAAAAACATCACTCAAACATTTTTTCAAGGGGGTAGTCCATGAGCAACCCTGATACACAATAGTATGGTTTGTTTGGGGGGTACACTATTGTGTCCTGCTGCTTCCTGAGGTGATTTTGCTTTTTTTTTGCAATCATTTCCTTTACCTTTTCCTTTGCTAAAGCTTTTGTCCTTTTAATTAATTACTTTCTTAGCTTCTTTCATTTGAAATTCTCAGAAATGCACAATTTCCCAAAATATACGATGAATTATTGAAACCCAGTTAAGAAACATCACTCAAACAATTTTTCAAGGGGGTAGTCCATGAGCAACCCTGATACACAATAGTGTGGTTTGTTTGGGGGGTACACTTTTGTGTCCAGCTGTTTCCTGGGGTGATTTTTTTTCAAACATTCCCTTTACCTTTTCCTTTGCTAAAGTTTTTTCCTTTTAATTAATTAATTACTTTCTTAGTTTCTTTCATTTGAAATTCTCAGAAATGCACAATTTCCCAAAATATATGATGCCTTTTTAAAACCCAATTAAAAAACATCACTCAAACAATTTTTCAAGGGGGTAGTCCATGAGCAGCCCTGATGCACAATAGTATGGTTTGTTTGGGGGGTACACTATTGTGTCCAGATGCTTCCTGGTGTGATTTTTTCAAACATTCCCTTTACCTTTTCCTTCGCTAAAGTTTTTTTTCTTTTATGGTATTTCTATGGTATTACTATTGGATTTCTATGGAATTCCTATGGGATTTCCATGATGTTTCTATGATATTTCTGGAGGATCTCTATCGGATTTCTGAAGGGGTGCTATGGGAGTTCTATGGTATTCTTATGGGATTTCCATTGGATCCCTATGGGATTTCTATGGTATTTCTATTGGATTCCTATGGAATTTCTATTGGATTCCTGTGGGATTTCCAAAGTATTTCCATGATGTTTCTATAATATTTCTAT